GTTACCCCTTCACATAACACAAAGACCAGGGGTCACCTAATGACATGAATAGGTAGCAGGTTTAAAACAAACATAAACAAGTACTTCTTTGCACAATGTACAGTCAACCTGTGGAACTCATTGCCAGGGGATGTGATGGCCAAAAGTCTAACTGGGTTAAAAAAATAATTAGATAAGTTAATGGGGGATTGGTCCATCCTTGACTGTTAGCCAAGGTGCTGAGGGACGCAACCCCATGCTCTGGGTGTCCCTAAACTTCTAATTGCCAGAAGTTGAGACAGGATGACAGGGGTTGGATGACTCAAAATTGCTCTATACTGTTCATTTCCTCTGAAACATCTAGCATTGGGCACTGTTGAAAGAAAGGATGATGTGCTAGATGGACCATTGGTCAGACGTAGTATAGCCATTCTTATGTTCTTGTATTACCTTTAGTGAGTGAGGATCCTAGAAAATCATAGCTCTGCAAAGATGTGACTAGGGATAGGTTTATATTGCTTATGTGCACCTAAAACCAAATTTGTATTGTATGTCATTCAGAAAGTCAACTGGAAAGAGCTAGTTGGGTAGCTGCAAAGGAACTTTCATTATTTCCTGTGAAAATTCTAGAGCAACTGGTAATGGCCTATCATATAGGTTCCAGAGCAGTTGAAGCCACGTTATAATAAATCAAAAACTAAAGTAGAAGAGGTATTAGAGTTTCAACCAATCTCTATTAGGGATTAGGATGAGATCTCCAAGGAGGGCAGATTATCCCAGTTCTGTCTTCTGTGGGGTTTTTTTGTGCCTATCTTTGAAGCATCTGATACTGGCCAGTGTGCAAGATGGTACAGGACTAGATGGTTCATGGGTCTCAGCCACTATGGCAATTCCTATGGATTCACAAACTTTTTCATAGTGCAGACTATATCTTAATAGACAGCGTGTCTCAGATTTCCCTCCTGTTTACAATCACGCAATCTCTGTGGCAGCTGTTTATATGAAAAACTAGTATTAGGAAAGTATGTATGCATTAAATTCTAAAATGAGAACAGGCACCATGTGCTCAACTAGTTCTGTGGGCCAGTGGTCTGTACATCACAGGTTGAGAACTGCCATTCTATGGAATGGGACACTGAAAAGCCAAGTGTGGAAGGACTGGAAAGGGCAGGAAAATCCTGCTTTTCTGTACAGGGGGAGAAGGATGATACAGTAGGTAAGGCATTCACCGAAGACTTGGGGAAACCTGGTTTCAATTTCCCACTCCATCACATGCTTCCTGTGGGTAAAACACTTAGCCTCTCTGTGCCTCAGTTCCTAATCTGTAAAATTATATAAATAAGTACAATAGCACTTCCCTACCTCACAGGGGTATTGTGAGGATAAATACATTAAAGATTGTGATGGTGCACATAAAGTACCTGAGATGGAAACATGGCACAAAGGGACCCAGTTGATTCAGACCAATGAAATCAATAGAAAAATCAATCATTAATTTTAAAAGAAATTCCAGAGATGTTTCTGGTTAAGATGTTACCTGTTGCTCACTACTCTGGCACAGAGTGTTGTGCCAGCACATGACAGCCAGAAAATGAGTGCCAATGCAAATGAAACTGACCCAGACTTTTAAGTGCCAAAGCTGAGGGATGCTAAGTGATCCACATCATTTATGACCCCGTTCATTTTATTTCAGTTTTGATAACCTAAGATGTTAACAAGGTGAGGTCTTAATAAAAAAAGAAAAATCAATTTTCAACATGAGCTGTTCTCCCCCCCCAAAAAAAAAATTTGGGGCAATTGGGTGGATGTAGCTTTCCAGTGTGTGCACCCAGGGCGTGGGGAGGTACTTGCAGAAAGGTATTTTTTGGAAGAAGTGTATTTGGGGAGGAGGTGGGTTTTGAAGAGGTATTTTGGGTAGGGTGGTTTGGCGATATTTGGGGGGGTGAGTTTTATGGGAGGAGTATTTGTTTTTTGCAGAAGGTGGTTTTTAGGGCAGGGGTATTTAGTGGAGGAGTTTGGGAGTATAAGGGGAGGGTTGGGTTTTAGGGAGGAGGGGGCATTTGGGTTTTGTGAGGAGGGATTATTTGGGTCTGGGGTGGGGTGGACACTGGGGGATAGGTGGGGCTTGGGGAGGGCGTATTTAGTGGAAAGGTTTTGTGGGGAGGGGT